AACAACAACAACATACACATGGACCCACCAGATGGAATACACAGACATCAAATGGACTACATCTGTGGAAAGAGATGGTGGAAAAGCTACATATCATCAGCCAGCGGCAGACTGTAACAGACCATCAATTGCTCATATGTAAATTCAGGGTGAAGCTGAAGAAAATGAAAACAAGTCCATAAGAGCCAAAATATGACCTTGAATATATCCCACCTGAATTTAGAGATCATGTGAAGAACAGATTTGAAGCATTAGACACTAAAGACCAAAGACCAGAAGAGTTGTGGGAAAAGTAGACATTTCATAGACTATCACCTGGTAAAACTCTGGAAATCCGAGCCCCTCTTCCCACCTGCCAAGGTGTTGTTATTACTGATGTTCATTTCAAGATTTCTCTGGACTGATTATGTAAAATGTGTGCGTATTCTCTGTTACGTGTGGCCACTGAAGTTTCTGCTTAGCTTAGTGGCTGGGATGTTAGTTTTTCTTTTTCCAAAAAGGAGGCCTGGGTTTTCAAAACTTGGGCAACATTTTTCCAATGTGTACTAACTACTTCATCCATTCTGCCACTCACAAACTATATTTCCTTCTAGTTTTGTAAAATTTGGAAGGTGTGAAAAATCAGGGCCAGCTGAATTGAAGAGGACTTCTGTTTACTGCCCTGGCTTATTGGTTAGTTCTTTCTTTCCTGGGAGTTATCTGTGAACAGGGCTCAGGGAATGGTGTTTCCATGGTGAGTGATCTTCAAGTATCTTTCTTGGTGAATAGAAAATTCATCATCTGATAAACGCTTTTTAGCCTCTGTCTGTGATTCCTGCCTCAGCCGAGACTGCTCTAAAGCTGGTGTGTTAGTTTCCTGGCGTCAGTTCACACTTGCTGCAGGCAGGCCTTCAGGACCCTCTGGTGACAAGAGCTCATCCATGCCTCCCAACAAGTAGTGGACAGCTCATTTAACAAGAGGGAGGCTGAGACACTGGTCCTCAAGGAGCTAGTGAAGCCCAGTGAAGTCCAGCCCCAGCATTTGTCCATGCAAGCCCCACCACGTAAATGCAAGTCAGGCTCATTAGCTGGGGTGAGGCAGCCCTGTTCTTTCTTTAAATCAGGGCTGAGGCCTCTGGAGTCCTCTTGCCTTCCTCCTTTCCAATAACATCACTCTATTTGCAATGGCATTCTCCTTGACGCGTAATCATTCTCTATCACCTAGTATATTTTCTTTTTAAATTGCATTTTAAAAAAATTGTCTCTCCTGATTAAAATATCAACTTTGTGAGGGCAGACATTTTTGTCTATTTTACCTACTGCAGTGTCCCCAGTGCTTACCTCAGTGCCTGGAATGAAGAATGAATGTTTAAAATCTTTCTAATGTACTCAGGATAAAAGCCACCCCCACAACTGCTCCCCACTAGGGCAGTCCACAAGATCCTGTACAATCTGCCCCCATCAGCTGTCTGTGCTCTTCTCCCCTAATACCATCCTCGTTCACTCGCTTTTAGGGTTTGCTTTGTTGTTGTTGTGACGTGCTGTCAAGTCAGTTCTGACTCACAGAGACCCCGTACAGGGTTTCTGAGGCTGTGTATCTTTGCGGGAGCAGGAAGTGTCATCTTTCTCCATTGGAGTGGCTGGTAGGCTCAAACTGCCAACCTTGTGGTTTACAGTCCACTGTTGATCCTATATAGTGTCCGCACTTCTAGAAAACTAGCAGAGGATGGTTGTGATCCGTCTAACTCTGGGTTATAGGCCCAGCACGCTTCCACTGTAACACTTGAATTGTTGTTGTTGTTGTTAAGTGCCATCGAGTCGGTTCCGACCCATAGCGACCCTGTACAGGGTTTCTGAGGGTGTAAATCTTTACGGGAGTAGAAAGCCTCATCTTTCTCCCGCGGAGCGGCTGGTAGTTTCAAACCGCTGACCTTAAGGTTCGCAGCCCGATTCGTAACCACTACGCTACCAGAGTTCCTTGAATAAGCCACATCATTTATTCCTGCCCCAGGGCCCTTGTGCCGGCTCTCTCTGCCTTCCCCCATGTATTCACATGCCACCTTTCCCTCCTCAGGTCAGTGCAAGTGTCACCGCCTCAGGAAAGCCCTTCCTAGTTCCCTTCCCTATCCTAGCACCATGTTTTACTTCCATCTCCCCAGCTAAAATGTCAGCTCCACTACGGCAGGGATTTGTTCACGTCTCTTGTTCAGTTTTGTGTCCCTAGCACCTAGAACAGTGCCTGGCACATAGAAGGTGCTCAATAAAAGAGCTTGATGTGTCCCAGAGGGGCTGTGTCTTACCTGTATCGCCGCTGCCCCCAGTGAGACCACACTCAATGTGAAACTCTGAATCTTGGTTATTCGCATGAACTTGAGGAAACAGCCCTAAAGAAGCAAATGTCAAAACAGGCAGGCGCTGTATAGGAGCTTAAAGACTCTGCCCCCCTATGAACCCCCAGCCCTTGGACCATCCAGATACCTTCCGATTCAGGGAGGAGAAGAGGACAAAGCCATGAGGGCCTTGCTTTGACTTCTCATTTGACAGTCCCCCTCCAACACCGTCCATGGCGTCCTCACTTCCCTGCTCCAAATATATCACTCACACCCTATAAGGTCAGTTTGAGCCTCAAGGACTGTGGTTCAAACCTACTAGCTGCTCCTTGGAAACCCTATACAGGGTCATTATGAGCTGGAACTGACTTAACAGCACTTAAAAACAACAACAATCCCTCTACCCATCTACCCT